CTCAGGATCTTTGCAGAGCTGATTTAGTTGCAGGCTTTATAATTTAGAATCAACACTTTATGCAAAAAGACCATTCATTAGATGTCATAATTGTACCATACTTTAAAGTAGAACTGTCAAAATTTGCTCCCCGTTTTTGTTCAAGATAATATTTATCTTGTTTCTGAATTCAGTGCAACGTTACTAACAAGCAGTCAGCGTTGAATATGACTCCAGCATGAAATCTATCAATTTTTCTTGAATAGTTTGCGAAATTATCTCAAATTCTTTTTAATCATCATTTACCTCTTGTCTGTTACATATCCGTTCATTGAACTATTTCTACCCGAACAATGAAGAGATAATGAAGTTCAAAGATCAATGATCAAGTATGAATCTTAGGTTTATAATACCAAAATGCGGAAATAATCCGGCTCTGGTCCCATTCAACTAGTTTAATCCAGTGATGACGACGCGTTTGGATGTGATCTGCATAATGCTGGCGATTTGCCAACTCGGTAAGAAAACTCGGTTTTTGTTTAACAGTAGTTGATTTTAGCACCTTCATCCAACACCTAAAAAAATCCACTTGTTTGATTTATAAACTTTTGACCTAAAAATCCGCGACAGAAGCGTTAGCATTACAAAATTTTTTTGAAAAAATTAGAATACTGTATCGCTGAACTTCCTCAAGCACAGGGTGTAATTGCACACTATGCATCGGACTGAAATTTTCATCACTGTTATGTGACCTCAAGTCATTTACTGATGCTAAGCAACCACATGGGCTTATGCTTGGACTGGTATATGTGTGCTTACACCTAATTTCTCGCATTTATACTGTTCGAATTAACTTCGCGCGATGGTTAAAAGTCATGACACTTCTTTGATTGAATGTTGGTTTCTCCTTGTAATATCTGCACAAACACCAAGCGAGAACTGGTCCCCGCTGATACATGAACTTCTAATCTTTAAAGTTTAATCCTCAGTTGTGCTCAGAAGTAGCCAGAAGTTTGACTAGAACTATCTCCTTTACAGGACAATCAGCATCTGCTTCCGAAGACGAAGTGAAGGAATTTCTAGGCAAAGTGTTCCAAGCAAGTAATAAGGAGAACATCAACAAGGTTTTCACAAGTCAGTATTTTTCGGAAGTAAATAATACTGATTAAATACTTTAGACTAGCCTTTGATAATCAAGTGCTCTGAGAACGCTTTTCAAAACTAAGTTTGATGAAATTGTGTGATCAGCTGTGATCAGTAATTTATAAGAACTCCTCACTGCTACAGCTCATAAGTTCTGTTGTTCAAGATTATCAGCAAAATTTCAGTTCAAACAAAAAATGATGAGCTAATTCTCGAATCAATGGATGCAAAAGCTGCAAAGAACGCTGATGGAACCCCTGCGAATACTGTACAAATTGTGGTAGGAAGCACCGGCGAGCAACGTGAGATTACCGACATATCCTAACCCCAAATGAGCCATCAGTTCTCTAATCAAGGACTGGTGAAAAGAAATTTCTAAGTGTGCAAATTTTTAGCGATGAATCAATAATTTTTTCAAGATGATAACTGATCAAAGGTCATGAAGTTGATCAAAGCAGTTTGAAGTTATTCCTTCACCATTAACCCTCAACAAATTACTCACTGTAATCTATCACTGCATTGCGACCTAACTTTAAAGTCGTTTTGTAGACGTCTAGCAACAGAAGACAGTTTGAATTGTTCTGTCCCATTTCTGAACAGTGAACAAAACTTCTCAAACAGCAAATAAAAAGCTGAAAATCATCTTTTCAGCCGCTATACACACAATATCAAGTGGCCCTGGAACTGTTGAAGTGAAGTCTAAAGCTGGATGGTGATAAAGCACTTTCATATCATGAAGACATATTGTATGCAAACATACTAAAGTTTATT